GGCTACTGTCACAGGTACGTACAGCAGCTGATCACTGACGGCAGCTCTCTGGCTACTGTCGCAGGCACGTACAATAGTTGATCACTGACGGCAGTTCTTTGGCTACTGTCGCAAGTACGTACAACAGCTGATCACTGACGGCAGCTTTCTGGCTACTGTCGCAAGTACGTACAATGGCTGAACCCTGGTGGCTTCCGATGGCGGCGGCAGGAAGGTCGCTAATGGCCCTGGTGGTGGCGCAGGGTCGGCCCTGGCCGCCAGTCACATGCCACCGCCGGCGGCGCCAATCGACGCCGCCGCTGCGCCAGACATCGCCGCCGGAGCCGCGGCGGCGGCGGTGATCTCGTAGATCGCGGCCGAGCGCCGGTCGGAGGTCGTTTGCGACGGCGCCAATGGCGGAGATGAGGAAGTGTGCGGTGGCGGCGGAGTTTTTTGCTGTTGGGTGGCGCGGCGCGACAGCGAGCCCATCGTCCTCGTGAGGGTCGCATCAGCAGAGTTAGCCAGCTGAGCATGCGAGACAAGGAGAACTGGGAAGCGCGATGCTGGCGAGAAGAATAGTGACTAGCAATATCATGCAAATGTGCGCGTGGACGCATGGTCGTATCTAGTCACGACAAAGCGTGCAGAACTTGTGATGTCAGACAGCTAGAAGCATTCAACTGCTCCTTTGTGCGTCAGCAGGAACGCACCGATCATATTTTCCTGTCCTATCATCGTCTTGTTTGGTGACAGTGATCAATGAATTCACGATGAAAATGAAAATGTCTTGTTCTCATGAAGGCTGCATTATTTTGTGTTGAGGAGTTTGTGATCAAAGAAGGCTAGCATTCTATGAGGCGCCAATACGAATCAAGATTAAAATAGGCTTTAAAATATAAAATAGTTGTTAACAAGATTCGTGCGAAAGACAGGGCGCAAAAGCATGGATATTTCACTGTAATTTGAATGCAATTTCGCATATTCATGTATGGAATATTAAATGGTAAATTAACGATTGGCAACACTAGATTAATTCAAGTTTCTATAATGCTGTGATAGTTCGAGAACTATTATATTTTATGATAATATCTTAGGAAGCATTACTTAAAAGTAAAATGCAGCATGTTACCATCGGGAAAAGCAAAAAGTTGATAGCTGCAGTCAAAGCAAGAAGTAAAATGTAAATAATAGCCAGAGTTACAAAAAGGAACCATTCCATCCCACCTGCTACACTTTAATAGGATAATTATTCATCGTTGGCCAGGAGATTCTTGTCTACCAACGTAAGCCGCGATGTGGTGAAATTGTATCGTCGTGTACAGATACGGTCATCAGATACCCTACCCAAAACTGCTCTTTACCTCGGACGGGCGCGAATAGCCAAGTTTTTGACTCGCCATAATGTAGCAAGTATACGCATAGTCTTTATATCTTTGCTCTAGACGTGCCAAACCACAAACTATGGAGAGACAAGCAGGAATAGTGTCGTGTAATATGGTGAAATTTGTGGCGCCAAAAAGATGTGTCTTACTTCATCTAGGCGATGTGACGAGTGGGTTAAAGCTATCCTTTTTCCGACTAAAACACAAAATTGTACAGCTCTTCTACAGGCTTGTTATTACTACGGCTTCCAATATTGACCGACATTTGGAAAGTGTGAACGAGATTAACCAACATTGAGAACTGTCCAGGCGCTGATTTGCTTCTTGGCAGCGTGAGGTCTAAAAACGATTACTGGATCGCAGCGAGCAATCGAACAAGTGGGGCGCCGGCTTACCTGACTGATCTGCGATCTGAGAAATGATCACGAGTGCTTCTATCATTCTGGAAAAGTGCTGGAAAACAAAAGGCTGTTTGAACATGACATGAGTGGCAAACGACCGTGGCTAATATCCGCGTATTGCACGTCATAGTTTCCGAAACACTAGACATGCCGCAGTCACCTCCGGTCTTTGCACGCTGGTAAGAAAAACAATAACCGGGCAAACAATAGCTGTCGCGGGCATAGTTTTTAGTAGTCATTAAGACCGAGTTTTGACTTGCAAAATGTTCTCTGATTGATTTCGGAGCTCCATTGAGCAGCTCAATCCCGTGCGCCCCGTGGGCAAAACTTCAGCAGTGGTTCGACCGCCCCGGTCGTTTCCGGAAGCTATTTGACTATTCATAACGTTCGATCAAAGTTGATGATAGCAAAAATTAGAGCGTTGACCTTAATACGGAATACTAAATGTAGTACGTGCCATCATGTTGCATATCATTATTTGCGTCGAAACATTATTTTCCGGCTCTAAGCGATGTATCTGCTGCTCGCAATAGGCGTGGATAATTAAAATTTGCAGTGTTTTTAATAATGTAATAATATTAATTTAACAATTCTTGATTTAATATGCGGTGTGTAAATTTTCGGTGTTTTTAACCGTTTACATTCAATAGTAAGTAGCTTCTTAGACATGTTTTCCAGAAATTATACGCTTGCTTATCAAGCTTACCCATTTTCAGAGACACGTAGATCAAATTGGCTAAAACCCATCGGGAGCGACCTCTATCTGTAAATGGCTTTACGTGAGATAACGTTCCAAACTGCACATGGATGCAACTTTCAGCAGGATCAGCAGATACAGTGATGTTCAGCTATTTGTATGAACAGATGCCACTACAAACAGCGCATTTGGAGCATTTGGTGTGCAAAGATAGGTTGTAGCATTAAGTGTGCAAATAAAGATAAGTTTTCATATTGCGTTACCCAAATAATAATACTAAACATTAGGCTGAACTATTTACCCATGTGGCACATTCGTATGTTGTCATGATATTACGCCGTCAATGCTCAGCAAAATAACAGATTTCATGAGCACAAGAGTGTTGACATTATGTGCCTACTTTTACCTGAAATAATTGCATAAGACTGCATTCTACTACGGAAGAAAACTCATACTATTCCGAAACGGTACAATCTCGTAGAATCTCAAGAGGGAAGCTCGTACAATCTCGAAATAGTACAATCTCGTACAATATGAGGAGGGAAATTCATACAATCTCGAAATGGTACAACCACGTACAATATCAGGGGAGCTCGTACAATCTTAAAATCGTACAATTTTAAAATCGTACAATGTCGTACAATACCAGGGGGAAACTCGTACTATCTTGAAATCGTGCGATCTCGTACCAAATGAGGGGGGGGGGAAATTCGTGCTGGAAAACCATCGCGACTGGCTTTGATCCTCGAACCCCTAACATCGTGATCAAGCGGGCACGGTCATGTTTCGAGTACGTTACTGTATGACGTCTGTAACCGGAACGCGGCGACACCAATTATGAAAGCGAAAACGGTATCGGTAAAAACATCGATGAGGTAGACGGAAGAGGCCACCCCGCCGTGGTAAGCCAGGTTCAAGTGATGATAATATCCACACGCTTACCAGCTCTGTCCATCAGAGCTGTTCAGCTAGGCCGCTGGAAAAGGCTTGCATTTTGATGGCTGAAACCAAAGCGCTGCGCAGTAATCGTCCTCAGGCTCTATCACAGTTGAAGCAATTGCCCTGTCAGCTCCAGATGAGGCGTCGGTCGATCCTTAACGCCACCACCAGACGAGTTGAAAACAGACAGCTGACAGGCCGATTTGGTCCATATTCGCCTTTCGCCAATGACCACGCTGACATGTCGACTGAGATGCAACCTTTCCCCGCATTTTGCGGTTGTGCGCGACGGTCTGATGTTTGCTGCAATCAGGTCATTTTTCACGTTTTCATATGCGCTTTCTATGCCCTGCACAAATTCCCCGTCGGTCCCGGCAGTTTTTAGGTGGGTGCTGCAGGTCTTGCTACTGCTGACGCTCCCAGCTGCCGCTGACGTTCCCAGCTGCCGCTGTCGTTCCCAGCTGTCGCTGACGTTCCCAGCTGCCGTTATGTTCCCAGCTGCCGCCGACGTTCCCTGCCGCCGCCGACATTCCCTTCTGCTGGGCTGGCGCCGCGCCCGCCAGCTCTGATTGACTCTGAGAGAGCGGCGCGTGTCGCCGTCAGTGCCTCCAGCCGGCTTGGCACGAGGAATTCTCGGAGCGCCGCGTCTCGGCGACCGCTCCGCCGGCCTCCCAGGGGCGCGCCCGCCTCCGGCAACGAGCTGCCCTAATGAGGACGTCTCTAAATCTCGCGCCGCCGCTCTCGTTCCCCATGCCCTGACAGCGAGGCGGCTGAGCGGCGTGTTGTCCGGGCGCGACGTCGTTTCCGGCTGCGCTGCTCGCCCGTCGCCGGCGCGTGGGTCGGCCAGTCAGACGGCGCGGAGACGCGTCCGCACTGACGGGCGCGCCGCGGCCGGCGGTGTCAATATGCTGCTCGGTCCGCGCCCGGCACGTGGCAGGGCAAACAAGCCCGCCCGCTGGGGGCCATTGGCGCCTCAATGGTGCCGTCTTATGGCCGGCTCCTGCCCCATATCGGCGCCGCAGACACTCGGCCGGGTTTCCCGAATCGACTCTGTGCAGGCCTCGGTCCTGCCAGGAACTCGCCTGTTTCCAGTATTCGCCAGCGCATAGCCGGCGCCTTTCATGCTGGCAGGCGCAGCCTATTCATGTTGGAATTCATGCTCAGCATATTGGTACTGGTTCACCTCACCGGGCAAACGGCTATGTCAGGCTTGTACTTATCAGCTATGAGCCAATTATGTGCACGGATATATATATATATATATATATATATATATATATATATATATATATATATATATATATATATATGTATGCGTGTGCATAGAGAGGGCATACATAATACATATATGACATATATGACAGACTAGAAGGCTTTCATATATATATATATATATATATATATATATATATATATATATATATATATATATATATATATGCCTTACAATTGTGCCCTGGAGCAGTGACGCTGCCAACATACCGGTGCAGGAACCTGACATTATCCGCAAGAGCACCCCGACTGGGTGCAGCGCCCGTCTCCCATGCATTGGCAGCACAGGTGGCTGGCCTTTCGGAGCTGATGTAGCATTTGTGTCAACAGCGCGACCTGTTTGCAAGCAAAGTTGAGGCGTCCGGAGAGGGAGGCCGGGAACGGAAGTCCAGCGGCAGCAGCGAGAGAGCCGGCATGAAGACCAAGTGGCTGAAGGCCTTCAAGTCGCTCAAGTCATCCGGCTTCAACAAGGATACCGGACAGGACAGGTATGTCTGGATTATGGACAGTGGACACGACGGTTATGTCTGGACAGCAGACGGTGGGTGCGACAACTATCTCTGGACTGGAGGCGCGGGGTGCGACAGGTATGTCTGGACTGCAGACATTGGGCACAACTCTATCTGGACTGTGGGCGGTGGCCGCCTCAGGTACACTGAGACGCATGATATTGATGTTTGATGTGACAGCCGCATGATATTGATGTTTGTGGAAAACAACACAGAACGCTGGATCGGGCTGGCAGGTGCGCGCTGTGCCAATGCGGCCTGGTCAGGTGTTCTGCGTGAGCATCGAGTACGACACGTTGGTACGGTCTCTGGGTGCGAAATCCTTAAACATTCGATTGCTAACAGCACCGTGGGTCGTACGCATCATATTGGTTTCCGACTGAGTCTTGCAACGAACAGACTAAATACATCTCTTAACACCCAAAACGTTGTCCTGAGGCGTGCTTTCGGGTGCGATACCATGGACTAAAGTGTCATGAGATGAACTTACGGCTTTGGGGTGTTTGTTCCAATTGGGTTCCTGGTAAGGTCTAAATTTTGTAGAATGATCGCAGCGTAAATATAAAACTGCAAGCAAAAGTAAGATGGTCATGTAAGGAAATGCTGGAACTTCCAGCATTTTACTAAAAAAAAACTACCTGTGGCATTCCATCCCTCCACACATTTATAGCTGCTAGCATTGCTATTTTCCTGTGGAGTTGGCCAATCAGCCGTGGGCTTTTGCCTGTTCCACACCGAGCTGCGGGTGTTTATCACCCGGCAGCCCGCGCTGACGGGCCCCGCCCCGCACCCTCACACGCTGCCGAGCGGCCGGTGAAGGAGGCCGCACCGCCGCCGGCGCGCCGCACGCAGAATCAGACCACTTCAAACGCTCCGTGACCGGGCCGCCTTGTTGACCCCGCTAACGAGAGAGAGAGAGCGGCGGCGGCGGCGGCGGCCGCCCCCTCCTGTCGGCGCCGGCGGCCGTCTGCCGCAGCCAGCGGTGCGTCGCTCTGTATTCAGCCGGCGGTGGCGCGGCCCGGCCCGTCGGCCGCGTTACGGCCACAGTGGTGCGCCGCGGGCGCCGCCGGCGCGCCCACCTCGCCGCGGTTGGCGATGAGCGGCGCGGCTTTAATCGGGCGGCGAAACGGCCCGCGGCCGGCGGCGATGCAAATGGGGCCGGCGAGGTGCGGCATGAGCGATGAGCGCCCGCTGCTAATTTCGCTCATTTATATAATGTGTTTCGATTAGCCGGCGTGCGATGGTGGCTGCGCGGGCGGATATGGGCCGGTCGTTTCAGCAGGCGCGTGTCGGCCTCAGCACATGACACGTGACCGCGCAACGACGCCAGGCAGGAGGGCGGCTCAGAGTCGTGCGGTAACGCGAAACCTCCAGACAACAGGCTGCATGCCAAATGGTCCTCCGCGTGCGGGAGAGGCATCCACCACTGGCGCGTGATGCCTTTGCCAAAGCGGTTGTTGCCGGAGAGTGACAGTCGCTAGTCATTGGGTTGTCTTGATGGGAATCTTACGGGGTGAAACATGTTGGAGCGAGGATTGCGGCTATGGAATCTTGCTCTGACGGGAGCTGCGTTTAGAAAGTACTGTCCTGGTGAGAGCTACGCTTAGACAATCCTATTCTGACGACAGCTCAAGCTGCGTTGGTAAATTATCTTCTTACGGGGAGCCACGTGTAGGAAACTCTGTCCTGAATGGAGCTGCATTTTAGAATTGTCTTCTGACGCGAGCTTCATTAGACAATTTTATCTTGACGGGCTGCTTTTAGGAAGTTCTGTTTGGACAGGGGCCGCGTTTGGGGAAGCCCGTCATGACGGTAGCTTCGTTTAGGAAATCCTATCGTGACTGAGGCAACGTTTGGGGAATGCTGCCCTGGCATGAGCTTCATCTGGATAATCACATTCTACGGGACCTGCGTTTAAACAGATCGAAGGCGCTGCGTTTCGGAAATCCTGTGCTGACTGGAGCAGCGTCTCGCCAAGTCTGCTCCGATGGTAGCTGCAGTTAAGACATCCTGCTTAACTGAAGCTGCGTTTGGGCAATGTTCGTCTCGACGGGCCTGCATGTTCTGATCTGAAGCGAACCGTTCTGAGGATGTCGTGACGTGAAAAGAGTTCGTGTATAAGATATCGTGTATAAGATATCGTGTATAAGGTATCGTGTATAAGATATCGTGTATACTCACGTCGCGGTGAAGTTGGCTTAGCGAAGCTTTCGCGCAGGAGCTACGTCCACGAAACACCACGGAAACTTTGTTTAGGCAATCATGGCGCGGCAGGAGCTGAGTTTGGGAAATCCCGCCGCCCGCTGGGACTGCATTCCGGGAGTTTTGTCTCGGCAGGAGGTGTGTTTCGAAAATCCTGTTCCGGCCGGAGGCGCGTCCGGGAAATTTTGTTGCTGCGGGAGCTACGTCCGAGGAATTCCGTTCCAGCGGGTGGTGTGTTTATGGAGCTCTGTGGCGGCGGGAGCAGCATGGTGCGTTGGCAACTGGGGCCCCGCCGGAAAGTTGTGGCCATTAGCGGGCTCATCAGCCATTCCGGGGCCGTGCCGGGCGTGCAGCACTCTGGCGAGGCTGTGAGAGCAGATCGTCCGTCTGCGGCTGAGGGACGACCGAGCGTCGGTCGGCGAGGGACGACCCGGGGACGACCGAGCGTCGATCGACGAGGGACGACCCAGGGACGACCGAGCGTCGGTCGGCGAGGGACGACCCAGGGACGACCGAGCGTCGGTCGGCGAGGGACGACCCAGGGACGACCGAGCGTCGGTCGGCGAGGGACGACCCAGGGACGACCGAGCGTCGATCGACGAGGGACGACCCAGGGACGACCGAGCGTCGGTCGGCGAGGGACGACCCAGGGACGACCGAGCGTCGGTCGGCAAGGGACGACCCAGGGACGACCGAGCGTCGGTCGGCGAGGGACGACCCAGGGACGACCGAGCGTCGGTCGGCGAGGGACGACCCAGGGACGACCGAGCGTCGGTCGGCGGGAGACGACCTGGGGACGACCGAGCGTCGGTCGGCGGGGGACGACCCAGGCACGACCGAGCGTCGGTCGGCGGGGGACGACCCAGGCACGACCGAGCGTCGGTCGGCGGGGGACGACCCAGGCACGACCGAGCGTCGGTCGGCGAGGGACGACCCAGGGACGACCGAGCGTCGATCGACGAGGGACGACCCAGGCACGACCGAGCGTCGGTCGACGAGGGACGACCCAGGCACGACCGAGCGTCGGTCGGCGAGGGACAACCCAGGGACGACCGAGCGTCGGTCGGCGAGGGACGACCCAGGGACGACCGAGCGTCGGTCGGCGAGGGACGACCCAGGGACGACCGAGCGTCGGTCGGCGGGGGACGACCCAGGCACGACCGAGCGTCGGTCGGCGAGGGACGACCCAGGGACGACCGAGCGTCGGTCGGCGAGGGACGACCCAGGGACGACCGAGCGTCGGTTGACGAGGGACGACCCAGGGACGACCGAGCGTCGGTTGACGAGGGACGACCGAGCGCGGGTCGGCGAGGGACAACTGGGCGTCGGCCAGTGGGGGACAGCTGGGCGTCAGTAAGCGTGGGACGATCCAGCGCCACCCAAGCGTCGATAATCGGGAGATGATGAGCGTTGGTCGACGAGGGTCTACCCAGTGTCGGTCGATGAGGTTACGGCGTGTTAAAATCATTGCCAGAGATGACAATTGACACCGTCTACGTGCGATTTCGGGCCAGAGTTCCAAAACTATTTATTGGTAGGGTGTGTGGATGGAAAAAACTTCAAGGGGGTGACGAAACCTGACGTCAAAATAGGCGTTTCATAAAGCCAGCAACATGACAGTTGAAACACATGAACAAAGGACACACCGTGGCCCCCATATGCATATATATATACACATGTCCGGTATTCATCATGCATCCAAGGCGTCCCTCCTGAAATGCATCTGTCTTTAATGCTGGAGCATTTTCCTTTCCAGACCGCAACCAAAACACCGGTGCGATGTTAGACGTCGCATCAGATTCTTCCGCTGAAGGAGACTGGCGGAATTCTGCTGACTCTCTTCGAATAAGTGTTTATGATGCTCCATTTAGATAAATGATGTCCTGAAACCCTTGCCCGGTGTTTCTGCTAGATGGTTACAACCTCCTTTATATTCGTCAATGCTCTTGATAACTTGAGTTTAGGCGAAAAATGGGCAAGTAGCTGACTAATGCCACCATTCATTTATCAGGCACCAAGTGTCCAACAAGGCAGCACGTTTCAATTGGAAAGCTCTGAATAATCGGCACGTTGCCAATATGGCGTCCTTTCTTTGAAGAACAAAGCCTTACGTAAATTCGACAGATTCTAGACCATTGATATTCTCTCAAAACATCTCTTTTTAAACGAAGATTTAGATACGTGTCCATGCCATATCTAACTTCAGAACTAGATGATAAACACATCACTGTCTGGTTACGTATATATGTCCAAGACATTAATATCTTACGATTTCAATTCTGCTCTGTAAAGGGTAATCATCAACAGGTCAGGTCAGGACGGATAAGGTTAAACAAGGTCAAATTCTAGGTTGGTCACCAAAGCGTCCCCAGAACCTATGAAACTGTTCCTAAGCAAAAGATCAAAAGTCACTTTGAGGTCAGTGACCTTGTTTGACCTTTTGAAGGTCATGGTGATCAAAATCTTACCAGACTGCTCTGAGCTTTGCATTTGAATAAGCGACAAAGATTACCCTAGGCAGATTTTCCTAAAACAACATGTCGACCAGGGTCATCTTAGGTCAATGACTTTTCTTACCCCTAAGAAGTCAGTGGAAGATGTATAATGCGGTTCTTGCTGTCAATAAATTCGAAATGAGCACCACAAACTATCCCATACAGCAAACCCAGAGTAATGAATCAGGTTGGTCATGACCTTAGTCTGACCTCCATACCTGACCTTATGTCAGCGTAATTTGCTCATTCAATATTCGTAGTGCCTAAGAAAACACCTCAGAG